GCGCCGCCGAGCTTGTCGGGATTTCAAGTACCGAGCACCGTGCCGTGAAGGCTGGTGGAAACCGGCCGGACTCGGCTTCCCAGCAGGCAGTGGGGCCGTCGAGCTGGGTTCGCGCAATTCTCGCCGGGAGGCGTAGTCTGCGCGTCGCCCCCGTCGCGCGGGGACAGCAAGAGGGTGAGAGGTGAAGTGGGCGTGGCTGCGGGAGCCCGGGATGAGATCCCACAGTGCTCTGCGCGAGCGCGGAAAGCGTGGCGGAACAGGAAGTAACGTAAAGAGGTGCTCAGCAGGAAAAAAAGATGAAAGGGAATTGTAGTTCCGCAGAGTGGGCATGGAAAAAAAGCCGGACTGGTTGGAGGCTCACACTTGCCCGTATTCTGGGGATCCTAAAATCCTGATTGCCCAGTCTTCTCCAAATTTAGAACTAAGGAGCCCGGCCCGACAGCCATTAAACCAAAAAAGCCCAAATCGATTGCCGTCGAGTCACTTCCAACTCATAACGATCCTGTAGGACAGAGAACTGCCTCATAGGGTTTCCAAGAAGCGGCTGGTGGATTCAAACTGCCGACCTTTTGGTTAGTAGCCGAACTCTTAACCACGACGCCACCAGGCTCCTCCTCCTCATGAGGACAGAGAAATCACAACCCCTATTCCTCTCATTTACAGCAGACGAGTCCGGACTCACATTTCCCTTCTCCGTCAGACTCGGGAGTTCGAGCCCTCCATCGTCAGACCCAGCATTCCGGCCCTCAGGCCCCTCCTCCCTCAGACAGGGCATGCCCGGTCTCTAGCTCGCATCTTGCACGAACAAAAGTCCGTGTCCCTCCTCACCCCTCACCCCCCGCCAATTCCCTCAGACCCAAAATTCTGGGCCCCCAGCCTCTGCAGCTCCTGGACCCGAGAGTCTGGGCCCCCGTTTCCTCGTTTACCAAGCCTAATAATAAGGACCCGCAGTCCACATCAACCCCAGAACCCAAGAGTCCAAGCCTACAACCCCATCCTCTTTCAGAGACCCAGGAGTGTGGGCCTTTCTTTACTTCCAGGACCCAGAAATCCTGGCCCCAAGCCCTTTATGGTCCAGGCGTCCGGGCCTGGGCAAGTTGGCTCATAGGTTAGGAATGCAGTGATCTCACGGCTCCTCCCTGCCCCGTTACCCGGCTGTCCCCCTCCAGGGCCCCAGCTACCCTCCCAGTCTATCTTCCGTTTGGCTGGGAGAGCGGGAACCGGAAGCTCGGGTCCCTTAGCAGGCCGACTCCAGCATCAAGCCTAGACGCCCTTGTCGGAGTTTGGCTAGTATCCCAAGTAGGAGGTGGAACTTCCCCCTCAGGACCCGCTCCTTCCTCGGAGCGCGCCTATATACGGCCGCGCGCGAGTCGGCGAGCCCCGCCTCCCAGAATACGGCCTCTCTGGAGCTGGGAGGAGCTACCGCAGGGATCCTCATTTGCATAGACCCGCCCGGAACGAGCTTCCCTCCCCGTCTGCTGAAAGAATGAACGCTCTTATTAGCATAGCTCCGCCCCCAGGCAGCCCCCCCTCGGAGAGCGCGTGGCGCTGCTCCGGGTGAGCAAAATTCACTCATTAGCATATGTCCGGCCCTTTCGGAATTCCCCGCCGCCGAGAACGCAGTTCCTCTACCCTATATTAGCATAGCTCCTCCTCCCTGGCCTTGCCTCCTCCTTAAGTGTCCGGACTCACTTTTCCCTCCTTGCCGGAGCTTATGAATATGCAGTAGCCTCATTAGGGTAGCCCGCCCCCAGGCCCCGCCCGGCTCCCCCCCCAGGCGGTAGCGGCGGCGGCAGCAGCGGTGGCGACATGAGCAGCGGGGCGGCGTCCGGGACGGGGCGGGGGCGGCCCCGGGGCGGGGGGCCGGGGCCCGGGGACCCCCCACCCAACGAGACACACAAGCTGGTGGTCGTGGGCGGCGGCGGCGTGGGCAAGAGCGCGCTGACCATCCAGTTCATCCAGGTAGTGGGCCCTCACCCTGGGGGGGTGCCCCCGGACCCAGCACTGAGCCCTCTGAGGGACGCCCGAGACCCCGATTTCCCCTAGACCCATCACCGAGACCCTCCTATGAAGCCCTCTAATCTCAAAAGAGCCCCTCAGATTGTGACCCTGAGCCCTGCTGAGGGACTCCACCCCCTACACATGGGACCTTCCTCCTAAATTCGCATCCTGAGACTTACCATCCCTCCCTCCAGTACCCAAGACCTCGCTTCCCTGCTGACCTTGCCCTGACACCTTCTGGGAGCACCCCAAACCCAGCAGAGTCGCCCTATCCTCACCCTGAGTACCCCATGGGCCTCCACCCCCTAGGTGCCACCTCCTTCCTCCCTGAGCCCCTTGTCCCCCAAACACCGCCCCCCCCAGCTTCCCCACTGACCCGCTCAGAACCTCTCTAGGGGCATGCCTCTACCCACCGCCCTTGAGACTCCCTCAGTCTCAACATCGGGGACCTCCCCCAACATCTAGAAATGACGCCCAGACCTTTTCCTTCTGGGGCCAGCCAATCCTGAGAGGCATTCTTCACCCCCTGCTCTGAGAGCACTTTTCCCTCAGACCCAAGAGATCTCAGAAAGATCCTGCCCCTTGGCCATTCCAGAAAAGTCCAAGACCCCAACTCCTAGCGACCCCCATCTTGCCAGAGCGAGACCCCCCCCCAAAATTCAACCCCTCCTCCATCTTGAGTTTTCCTCCATTCCACTCGCTCTCCCCTGATGTCTCCTAAGTCATCTCCATGGAAGAAGTCCCCAGATAGCTGACGCCCCCAGAAAGACCTTGTCTGACCCTATAACTACATCTCAAGGTCTCTAAGACTCTCTAGACACACTCCTGTAATATTCTATGACAGATTGCCCAATGCCAGGAGCCACCTAGGGGTTCACTCCCAGTTCTCACCCCTGATCTTCTCAAGCTGCATTCTGGAGACATGCCCCTAACTCTCCCCAGAGCTGCAACCCGCCCACAGCCTGGTCCTCCAGGATGAGCCCTCACGAGGACCCCTCTGACAGACAGCAACAGCCTTACAGCCTTCAAACCCCCAGCCACCAGATCACCCCTTCTCTCGAAACTTCATCTTCACTGTGAAGGGAATCCCTCCCTATCTCAGAGAAACCCCAGATAGTTGTCTGCCCCTGAGAACCACCGCAGAGGACCTGGGACCCCAGACCCCTCAAGAGACCCTAGTAAGCCCCTGAGTGGAAGTCCCTTCCTGGGCACAGAAAGCCCCAGCTCTGGATCCCTGGCATCCAGGGGCCAACACAGAGCTGGCTGAAGGCCGGGCTGACGCGGGCGGGACCCAGGCAGGAAGGGAGGGGCCCAGGCCTAGGGCAGGGCTGCCTATCCGTGGATTGGAACCGGGACCTTCCCCTGGGAGGAGACTCTGGAGGCCGCCTGAGAAGGAGGGGGAGGAGGGAGAGGAGGAGGGAGAGACAGACTGGCACATATTCAGGACAGCAGCTCCAAACAACTGAGCCCTTACTGGGTGCGGGGTGATGTGTTAAGTGCTTAAAGGGGATTTTCCCAGAATCTCCCGAACGCTGGATTAGATGTCATGCTATTCTTATCCTTGTTTTCTAAATGAGGAAACTGAGGCTCAGCGAGGGGAAGTGACTCCTCCAACGTCACACATCCAGGAAGTAATCACAATGACAGAGATGTACTTTGTGCCAGAAAGAGAGTACCAGGAGAGACTTGGAGAGAAAAAAGGGAAGAGACTCAGTATGGGCGGGGGAGAGCAGAGACGGAAAAGACTAGATGGGGGAGGGAGACCTAAAGAGAGGGTGAGGGGACAGAGAAGGCGGGAGAGGGAGACTCAAAGAGAGGGACACAGAGACCAGAGAGGGGGACATAAGGTCAGAGAGAGGGAACTAGAAACCCAGAGAGAGAGGGACAGAGACCCAAAGAGAGGTGAACAGAAACCCCGGGGTGGGGCAGAGAACCAGAGAGAGAGAAGAGGGCAGATACCCAGAGAGAGAGGGACAGAGACTCAGAGAGAGAGGGAGGCAGAGACCCAGAGAGGGGGACAGAGACCCAGAGAGAGAGGGAGGCAGAGACCCAGAGAGAGAGGGACAGAAGCCCAGAGAGAGGGGGACAGACACCCAGAGAGAGAAGGAGGCAGAGACCCAGACAGAGGGGGACAGAGATCCGGGGGGGGGGACAGAGACCCAGAAGGGGGCACCTAGGAAGGCCATCCCAGGGCAGGGTGCAATCCCCTCTGTGGGGCACTACAGTAACAGTGCCCTCTCCCCCCCTTCACCACCAGTCCTACTTCGTGTCCGACTACGACCCCACCATCGAGGATTCCTACACAAAGATCTGTACAGTGGATGGCATCCCTGCCCGGCTGGACAGTGAGGACAGCAGGGAGTGGGGGGTGGTGGTGGCAGGGGCTGAGGATCCATAGGGGTGGCCTGGGCAGGGGGATTCTCTTCCCACAGTGGCCCTCTCCCTGCCTTCCCCGCAGTCCTGGACACCGCAGGCCAGGAGGAGTTTGGCGCCATGCGGGAGCAATACATGCGTGCCGGCCACGGCTTCCTGCTCGTGTTCGCCATCAATGACCGGCAGAGGTGAGGGTTGGCAGGGAACAGAGCAAGGACGGGGGGACCGGGACTCTTCTTTAGTCAACCTCCTACCCAGCCCCAGAGCTCACCCTGCCCCTCTCCTGCTCCTAGACCTCCCATGGCTCCCTAGTGCTGCCCCCAGGACAAAGTCCCAGGTCTTCAACACAGCGTTGGATTCCCTGCATGATTTTACCCCTTTCTTGTCCCTGGGAAGGGAGCCCTGTGTGCAGTGTTTAAGCACTCAGCTACTAATCGAAAGGTTGGCAGTTTGAAACCTCCCAGAAGCTGCTCATCAGGAGAAAGATGTGGCAGCCTGCTCCCTTAAAGATTACAGCCTTGAAAACCCTATGGGGCAGTTCTACTCTGTCCTGTAGGGTCGCTATGAGCCGGAATCAATTTAAGAGCCACAGGTTTGGTTTTTGGTTTTGTCCACGGGTGGCACAAACGCTTATGCATTTGGCTCCTAACCTCATGCGTTTCCCCCCAGTTTCAATGAGGTGAGCAAGCTCTTCACGCAGATCCTCCGCGTCAAGGACCGAGATGACTTCCCCATCGTGCTGGTCGGGAACAAAGCAGACCTGGAGACCCAGCGCCAGGTGGGGGACCTGGGACCCCTCTCGGCCTGGGAGGCTCCTGCCAGCGTGCCTCCTGTGACTCCTACTCCAGCCTCCTCCCCAGCACACGCAGGGTCTGCTCCCTCCTTTACCACACACTTCACAGGCACACTACAAATGTGTTACCCCCAAGGCAGACCTTTGGGTCCCCAGCGCTGCTCAGAAGAGGGACTGGTACACAGGAGTCCCTGGAGAGGAGGCTGGATGCAAGAAAAGGCATCTACCCCTGTCAACCGCCTATCCCCTGACTCTCTATGCCCCGTCCCGTCCTCTCTCTTCCTACAGCCCTGGTAATACTCAACCTTCCTCTTCTCCCACCTGGACCCTCACCCCAGCCTCCCAGGCTCCAGTCTCTCCCCTTCAGTCAGCCTCTCCCACCCAGCCCCAGAGCTCACCCTGCCCCTCTCCTGCTCACAGACCTACCATGGCTCCCTAGGGCTCCCAGGACAAAGTTCCAGCTCTTCAACCCAAAATTAAATACTCTTAGTGGTTTCATCCCTTTCTCTTCCCTGGGTGGTGCAAGCAGCTAAGCACTTGGCTACTAACCTGCCTTCGTTTCTTAGTGCTGCTATAACTAATACCACAAACGGGTGGTTTTCCTCACAATTTAGGAGGCTAGAAGTCTGAATTCTGGGCGCCGGCTCTAGAGGCTGGCTCTTTTCTCTCTGGGGGAAAATCCTTGTCCCAACTTCTTGAGCATTCTTCTCGGCGTTACCTGGAGATCTCCACGTGGCGTCTATCTTTCCCATTTGTGCTTGCTCCTCTCTGTGTTTTGTTGTTGTTGGGTGCCGTCGAGTCAATTCTGACTCATAACAACCCTACAGGACAGAGTCAAACTGCCTCGTAGGGTTTCTAAGGCTGTAATCTCTACGGTTGTTGGGTCCAGTCAATTCCAACTCACAGTGACCATATATGTAAATGGTGCAGGACCCGGCACATTTCGTTGTTATATATAAGTCGCTGTGAATTGGAACTGACTTGATGGCACCTAACAACAACAACAATCTTTACGGAAGCAGACTGCCAACATCTTCCTCCCGGGGAGCAGCTGCTGGGTTCAAACCGCCAAACTTTCAATTAGCAGCCGAGCGCTTAACTGCTGTGCCACCAGGGCTCCTTTTCCACAGGTTACGGGGTTAGGATTTACAACACATATTTTAGGAGGACACAATTCAATCTATAACAAACCAAAAGGATGGAGTTCAAATCCACCCAGAGGCGCTTCGGAAGAAAGGCCTGGCGATCTACTTCCCAAAAATCAGCTATTAAAAACCCTGCGGAGCCCAGTTCTACTCTGACGCACATGGGGTCACAATGAGTTGGAATTGACTGGCTGGCAACTGATTTTCCACTACTTCCCTATGCTCTGTTACTGCCACACAGAACTCAACCTTCAGATGAAGCCTTCGGGGATTTCCAGCCTTCGGGGCTTTGCTAAGAGTATCTCCTCTGCCTGGAACACCCTTTCTTCTCCTTTGCCTGACAAACTCCTAGTTATCTAACACTCCGTAGGGCAAACATCTACAAAGCCGTCCCTAACTCCTCAGAAGGCATCAGACCCCTTCGGGGTCTCTCCCTGTACTGTCTCTGGAACTCTCCTTTCTTGGAGCACCCACAATGCCTCATGCACTTATCAACCTACTTGCTGTAACCTTAAGACGCCAGGAGAGAGGCTCAGAGTGGGTGTGTCCACTCATGCCCTAAGTTAGATTCAGAGTTTAAACCTTTTTACAGCACCATGTAAAAATTATGAAAATACCTGAGCGGGGTGGTCAGTTGGCACAAAAATGTGGAACGCGTGTGTTATTTGCATAAAAATACGGTAGACTCAGACATGAGCCCCATTGGGAATTTTCTGGAACTGAGAACTTGCCAGCTGGCTACTTGGACACCATTCTGCCCACCTGTCCTTTCTCAGTATACATTGGGGGCGGCACGTAACCCCCCTGAGCGCACACATCATTCTCACTCTTCAGTGGCTGCGGGCGCCCCGAGCTCAGGGCCCTGAGTCCTCCCTGTGTCTCCCACAGGTCCCCCAATCTGAAGCCTCTGCCTTCAGTGCCTCCCACCATGTGGCCTACTTTGAGGCCTCGGCCAAGCTGCGCCTCAACGTGGACGAAGCCTTTGAGCAGCTGGTTCGGGCAGTCCGGTGAGCCAAGCCCCCTTCCCATCAGGGTCATCCCCAGCCCTTCCAGCCCAGTGGCATCACTAGAGGTGGTGTCACCCTCCCATGCTAATGACAATATTGTAGCTAAAACACCAGAAAATTTGACAAAATGAGAGACTATAAAAACACCGACAGCAACGAAAACAACAGTGCAGCGCTTGTACAGCGAGCGCAGATGAAACCATGGGATCAGAAGCATCATTGTAATTGGGTAATAATGACAGCTCTGACCCGAGCACATTAGAAGGTTCAAAAAGTAGCACAGAGTTTTAGCCTTGTAGGTGTGTTGATACATGTAAGCTGGGATTACAAAAAAATTTTTGTTGTAACTAACTACAGGGATATTTTTATAAAAAAAAAAAAAATAAATGCTGAAACACTGCACAAAAATTTTGGTTATTTTGGTGTCACCCCTTCTGACAGTGTCACCTGGTGCATTCTGCACCCCCCACACCCCCCTAGTGACGCCACTGTCCAGCCCAAGCTCACCAGCCTCTTCTCCCCACAGGAAATACCAGGAACAAGAGCTCCCGCCCAATCCACCCAGTGCCCCCAGCAAGAAGGACGGGGGGTGCCCCTGCATCCTCCTGTAGCCTGGGCATGGTAGAAGCGTCAGCACAAGCTCTCGGGACCAGCTACCCTCACACCTTGCTGAGCCTCAGTTTCCCCATCTGGGTCTCCCAGGATACACTACACCCCCACCGCTACTTCCTGGCCTCTTCTGGCCGTCGCCACTGTGTGCCTTCTGCCAACGCCTCCCCTCCTCACCCGAGCTCCTGGTGGGGCTGAGGGGCTCCTGGGTATCCGGGTCACTGCTGTATATAACTCCTCCCCCTGCCCCAGAGAAATAAACGTCACTGCCAATATCAGGGGGTGCTTTTTAAGACGATAAAAGGGCTCGGGAGGGTGGGTGAATACAGACTGCACACATGCTAAAGCCTCGCTCCATCTAGACCCGTCAGATCTAGAATCCTGTGCTCGGAGTGTAGGGTAGAGGACATAAAGAATAAGACAAATCAGGCATCAGGTCCGGGGCGGGGCCGGTGGGCAACTGGACTCCCACTTCCAACCTTTTCTATTTTGGCAAGAGAGTCTGTTGGGATAAAGCTTAATTTTTTTTTTTCTGGAAAGTTCTAGAACTTTCCATTGTCCAATATGGTAGCCAGAACCCGTTGTGTGCAGTTGAATTGATTCTGGCTCATAGTGATCCCAAGTGACAGAACTGCCCCATAGGGTTTTCTTGGCTGTAATATTTACGGAAGCAGATGGCCAGGTCTTTTTCCCTGTGGAGCTGCTGGGTGGGTTTGAACTGCCACCCTTTTGGTTAGCAGCCGAGCACGTAATCATTTCATCACCAAGACCCCTTATGGTAGCCAGAAGCTACATGTTGCTATTTCAATTCAAATTATATAAAATTAAGTATTTTAATTGTGGCTAGTGGCTACCCTAATGGACAAGGTAAACACAGAACATTTCCATTATCGCAGAAAGTTGTATTGGACAGTGCTGTTCTAGAAGTTTCCAGGATCTTGGAGACAGGCAACACTTGCTACAAAACCTGCCTGCCCCTTCCCACTCCCAATGTATATTGAGAAAGGCTTTTTGGCTGGAGGAAAGAGAAGGGACAGGTGGGCAGAATGGTGTCCAAGTAGCCGGCTCACGAGTTCTCAGTTCCAGAAAGTTCCAAATGGGGCTGACGCTGGGGTTTAAAACCTGAATCTAACTTGCAGACTGTGTGGACACACCTCTCTGAGCCTCTCTTCTGGGAGAAGCAGAAGTGTGGGGCATCTTAAAGACTGCGGCAAGTAGACTGACAACGTATCTCAGCCTAGAAACCCAAAGCTCATTCGTATACTGGGAACAGTTAGGCGCCTCCATGTCCAGCCCAGGACCCCCACTTTTGCACTCTTATTTGCTACCCTGGACAGGTGGAACCAGAATGGCACCCACCCACCTCCCAAGCCTGTTTGACAGGCCGTATCTTAACACCAACACCTATCTATGCAACACATCAGGCCAGAAACCTCCACCCAGAAGTCCACATGCACGGAATTTGGTCTCCACCTGCCACCTGTTACCAGTCAAGGATGTACTCTGCCCACCCCCATGCTTACGAGTTTCACCAGAACCTCTGGGGCCCTCATCTCTAAATGCTCCCCTCACACCCGCCCCAGAACCTGGTTCTGTAGAGCATGGACCTACATGGACATTGGAGCCAGGCTGTTGTTAGCTGCAGTCGAGTAGGCCCGTGACTCACGGTGACCCCATACACAACAGAACCAAATGCTGCTTGGTTCTGTGCTATCCCCGTGATCAGCTGCAGATCGGACCATTGTGATCCACAGGGTTTTCATGGGCTGATTTTCGGAAGTAGATCACCAGGCCTTTCTTCTTAGTCTTAGTCTGGAAGCTCTGCTGAAACCTGCTCGGCATCATAGTAACATGAAAACCTCCACCGACAGACCAGTGGTGGCTGTGCATGAGGAGCATTGGCTGGGAATTGAACCTGAGTCTCCCACATGGAAGGGAGAATTTTATCACCCAACCACCACCGCCGCATGGAGCCAGGTTGCCAGGGTTCAAATCCAGCTCTGCCCTCTCTGTCTCCGCATCTGTAAAATGGGACAATAACAGAACCTACTTCACCAGGTGGATGCAAAGCTAAAGGAGACAATGGCACGCAGGGAGCAAACCCAGCACCTGGCACGTACGAAGTGCGCAGTATCAATGACTGTTGCTCCACTGTTCTCCTGCCCCAGAACCATGAATGTCCCTCTGTTTTCCAGTAGAACACTGATTAGCTTAATATCCCTTTCCGGGTTTCGTTCTCTCCAAATCTTGGCCTGGGTTCAACCTTCCACCCTGGGAATAAGCTAAGCTCAAATGTATTGTGCCACATGTCCATTCTTCCCAAGAGCCCCAGCACCCCAAGGGCCCACCCCTGCAGGACAGTGTGTATGGGGCGGGGGAGGTGTTTCTATCAGTTTCCCAAACAAGAACCAATACCTCCACCTAAGCCCCAGGCAGGGGTAAAGAACTCCCAAGAGGAGTGAGATTAAGCCAAACCAGCCATCTGGTCCAGAGAAGGGGGTGGGGACAGTGGGCAACTGGACCCCTGCTTCCCTTTCAAAATGTCATTTCCACCTTTTTCTATTTTGGTGTGGGAGATTCAGTTGGGATAAAAGTGTAACATCTGGAAAAAAAGTTTTTTTTTGAAAAATTCTATAATCACACTGTGCAATATAATAGCCATGTGGCTATTTCAAATCAAATCATATAAAATTAACACTGTTAATTGTGGCTAGTGGCTACCCTCATGGATAGGGCAAATACAGAACATTTCCATCATCACAGAAAGTTGTATTGGACAGTGCCATTCTAGAAGTTCCAGAAGTTGGCCTGTGCCAACTTCTCTCCTGCCAAGTCCCACCATCAACACTCCTCCAGCAGAGGGGCCAAGTCTCTCCCTCCTGAGGCCAAGTTCTTGGCCAGGACCACCCACTCCTAGTAAGCCCAAGATGTACTTTTGAGGTGATGAAAGGTATGCTTCTCCCAGAGAAAGGCATCCATACAAACCCACGCAACAACTGGCAGGCCATTTTTGGAAGGTTCCTGGCCACCATTCCAGAGCTTCTTAGACAATGGCTAAGAGGCTGGGCTAGTTTAGTTGGCGCCTCCCTAGGAGCCTTGTTTGTGCCTGTGTCTGTCTGGTTCCTGCCCACCCCTGGGCCCTGGCAGACCCTGTAACTCTCTCTCTCTGGATTTTGGCATCTCTCTCTTCTTGCTGTGGCTTGGGCCTCTGCCAAGTCTCTCAGGGTCTCCTGCTATGGTAACAGGGGCTGTGTGCCCAGCAGTGCTGAATGCTTCCAACATATTGTCTTCCTTCTTCTTGACAAAAGCCATTTTACAGATGACAAAGCTGAGGACCAAGGCTGTTAGCCAACTTGCCTGGTAAGTGCTGGAGCTGGGATTCAATCTTGGGCAGTTTGATTCCGAAGTCTAACCACAGGTAGTTCTGTTCCCACAGGAATGATCCTGCCCCATTACCCACCCTCTAAACACACCACGTATGTTCTATTCCAGAGCTTAAACCTGGGACAACCCCAATCCTGCAACCCTTGACACTGACTTGACAACCCAGCCCAGAACCTCAAATGTACCACTCCCTAACAAAGATGGCACCCCCTTGTACCATAGGCAACAGTTCAAGGACATTAATTAATGGTCCATCCTCAACTCTGTTAATTACACTACAATTCTAGAAAGTCAATAGTCCATCTTTGACTCAACCGTTATGGTTTTTGGTTGCTACTCTCCAGCCTCTAGTCTGTAAAACTAGGGTTCTAAAATCTAGAAGATGGGTAGTGGTTCAGAGCCTTGGTGGTACAGTAGTTAACAGCCCGGCTGTTAACCAAAAGGTCAGCAGTTCGAATCCACCAGCTGCTCCTTGGGAAACCCTATAGGACAGTTCTACTCTGTCCTATATGATTGCTGAGTCAGAATCAACTTTGGACAGCAATGGTTTGTTTGCTTTTTTTTGTGGGGGGTGCTTGGTCCAGACAAAATCCAGGGTTCTAGAACAATGTCAGGAGTCCCTGGGTGGTGCTAATGGTTAAAGTGCTCAGCTGTGAATCGAAAGATTGGAAGTTCAAGTCTACTCAGAGGCACCTCAGAAGAAAGGCTGGCAATCTACTTCTGAAAAATCAGTCATTGAAACCCTATGGACCAAAAATACCCCCGAAGTCTTCTCAAAACCAAACTAGTTTAGCTTAACTAGTAAAGAATGTCTGCCTTGAGCACTGTACTCTTTTAAAGAACTAACTAGGGAAGCAAACTGACAACAGCAACTCAAAAGATTAGCTAGGAAACATAGGGGGCAGAGTTTACGTGAATGGGGGAGAACAACTCAGAAAAGGAGGGTGAACATGGTTGCAGATCTCAAAGAATGTAATAAATGTCACCGAATTGTACATGTAGAGATTGCTGGATTGGTGTTATGTTCTGCTGTGCCTATTCCCAAACACAAAAATAATTAAAAAAAGAAAACAAAAACCCTATGGAGCACACTTCTGCTCCAACATACACCCTATCACCATGGGTCGACTAGTTGGCAACTGATTTAGAAGGAGAGTTCTTCCTCAGCTTCTTCTGGAGGGGGGTCTAGAACACTGAAGATCCACCCTCAAATGTCACATTGGGTCTCTACCCACTGACCACTGACCATCCATCCTCAAGGCTGGCACCAGTGCTCTAGCATACCAGTGGCCCATCCTTGACAATGAGGGCCTGGGTTCTAGAATGACAACAGCCAGTCAGCCTCAAAATTTTTAACACCCTTGTTCTAGAATGTTGCTCCTCAAACTTGAACATTCATCAGAATCATCTCAAGATTTTATTAAAAAGTGGATTCAGTAGATCTCAGAAGCGGGCTGAGATTCTACATTTCTACAAGCTCTTAGGTGATGCCGAGGGTGCTGGTCCACAGCCCAAACTCTTCAGTACCAAAGCTGGAGAATAAAGGAATCCATCCTCAACTCTGTAGGCCAGGCTCTAGAACACTGCCAGTCCATCTGTGGCCCTGCAGGTCCAGGGTTCAAGGACACAGAGGCCCACTCTTAACTGTACAGCACAGGGAGCCAAGAAAAAACCAGCCAACTCTGGACACTCGTGACTGCCTGCAATGATTTAAAAATACATTCAAAAACTGATATTCTTCCCTTCAAGAAATGGAGGCATAACTGTCCTCCCCGAGTGTGCGCTGGACTTAGTGACTCGCTTCTAATGAACAGTGTGGCAGAAGTGACGGTGGGTGATGTTCCAGATTAGGACATGAAAGCCTTACTTCCTCCAGCCCATCAAACCCT